CCCCCTTCCCCAATCACTGGCTACTATTTGGGGAATGGATGGAACGGGACAAGAAAGGAGGCAGGATGTCAATAAAGAGACATTCACACACACGAGATATTCACAGTTGTCTAGGCAACAGTGTCAGTGGCTTGGCTTAGGGTAGCTTTGGTTAGCAGTTCAGCAGGGATGCTGAACCTCTGGGACTGGGTTAACCAAAGACAGAGCAAGAACTGTGAAGTTGGTGAATTCCTCATGCTCTGTTGGCCTTGTCTTTCTAACGTTTTTCAAACATGTTATAGATGAGGTTAATTAAATGATCCCTTGGAATGTTGGGCTCAGTCCCTCAAGTGCCTTTCTTCAGGCCCTTCCCATCAGTCCCTTCCCCCCTTTTGGTGTCCCATCCCCACCCTCAGCAAAATCTGCTCTCCTAACACCATGTCCCAAAGTTCTCTGGACCCTTCTTTCTATGCTTCTCTTTCTCTTGCCCTTCTCAGAGGTCTGCCTAATCCTGTAACACTAACTGCCATGGGAAGAAAGCCTCAGAAAATATTTGTTGCTTGATTGGCTATTCTAGGAGAAAACTAAATAGGTAAAACATATTGACACCTTCATGCTACCCCAGAAATTACCATCACTGATAAGCCTGAGGGAACATTAAGGAATGAACCGATAGCCCTAATGGAGCCTCCTAAGCTCAACACAGCCAGACACCTGTCATGGATGCATATCACCTGTTGCTCAAATGGGTCAAAGATGTGTAGGGTGGTAGGATCCCTATGCAGCCACTGAACATCTTGTGGGGGGAATCTAGGTAATTACAAATGAGAGGTATTTCTCCTGTAGTTCTGACGTTCAGTATTTGGTATAGCTCATTTGGCTGAGAAACAAATCCATAACAAAAATTGTGTGTTACCTCTCCTAGGTTTTGGCATATCAGAAACAGTGGCTGATGAACCAGAACGGTAAAAGGCTTTGAGATCTTTCCAGGACAGAGAAGGGTAAAAGGAAGATAATGCTATGAGAAAGCCCTAAATTTTGGTGACAGAGTAGTAGGTGCTGAGAGCAAACTGTACCTTGAATTTGAGGTACAAATGGGGAGGAGGGTCCTGCAAATTCCACAGCCGCAATGTCAGAAATCAAATATAACTCTCCATCCATCTTTTTTAAATCCTTTGATGTTATGTCAAGTAGCATTCAGTATTTTATTTCTATCATCTTTTTTTTATTACAAAGTAATAACATTCTTTTTTAAGATTTTATTTATTTATTTGAGAGAGAGAGAGAAAGAGGGGGGAGCAGAGGGAGAGGGGGAAGCAGAGTCCCCGCTGAGCAGGGAGCTCGATGCAGGACTTAGTCCCAGGACCCTGGGATCATGACCTGAGCTGAAGGCAGATGCTTAAAAGACTGAGCCAACCAGGCGCCCCAAAGTAATAACATTCTTGAAAAGGAAATTCAAATACAGAAGTACACGTCTCTACCTCACTCCCCATCCTCAATTCCACTCCTAAGAAGTATTCATTATTAAAATTTTAACGTGTATCCTTCCACTCTTTTTTCTTTGCATATGTAAGCATATTTACATTTGAGGGAGTTTTGGTATTTGTTCACAAATGGAACTATAGGGTTTATATTTTTTTGTTTGCTTCATTATTATATTTCTTTATTTTATACCAGTACTGGAATAATATGCCCCTTCCAACAAGCACACTTTCCCAGGTATAGAACTCAGTTATTGCCTGAACAGAAAAAAAATGACAGTATCCTCTGTTCTCATGTGCCTGTGGTTCTGGATGAGCCTCACTCAAATTGCAAAGAAGGAGTTCTGAGCTTTTTAGGGGCCAGAGACCCCCTTATAGATCCAGAGAAAGCTATGGACCTTCTCCCCAGAAAAAAAAATGCATATTTGGGCAAAGGTTTGCAGACAATTTCAAGGTTAAGATTCCCTCCTGGTTTAATTTCCTTTTCTTCCCAAGTATATGTTTTGTTCCAAAAGATTGATCAGGGGAGAGTCTGCCTCCAACACCACTGGCCTGTATGAGATGCTCCTCCATGTTAGGCCTCTACCAAACACTACTTTGCTTCTGGCCACTTTTTTCCTCCACAGGGATGAGCTTCACCCAGACCCCCATGTACCTGGCAATTGGTGCTTGGCAAGATTGGTAGAAGCCACTATTACAACCAACAGAGCCCAGTCACCTTCCCAGCAATGCCAACTTGCTGGCTTCCCAGACACCCTGGCTCCCCTCACTGATGCCACGAGCAAAACCCAAGGCAGGCTGTCAGGGCTGCTCCTCATTTATACCTAGTATGGTCAGCAACTAATATTGTTTACTCTTTTCAAGAAGACTCTGCTGCCTTCATCTCTTCCTCAGCTCTTATCTCTCACTATACCTCTGTCCCAATAGGTGTTAGCCCTTCCTCATCACTGGGAAATTATAATCCTTTCTTTTGCTTTGGGGACCAAGGCCTTGACCCAAAAGGATTAAGATATCAGGCTATCTCCAGTGCCATAGCTAAGGGGATATCTGCAGTGCACATACTGATACACTGCGTACTCATTTTATCAAACTCAGAGATGATCTGGATACTGTTGTCTCCCACATTCCCTCAATTGGAGCCATTATGCATTAGTACCCATGTGCTCACACAACACACATACATGCACATGTGCACACACATCAGCAAGACTCCTGAGACACACAGCCAATTGCATTTAGCCATGACTTCCCATGCCCTCTTTACCAGGGTTTAATCAGATTCAGTCACATTCATGCATTTTCAAATCCTCTAACTCTTAAGGATATACAAGTGGCCTTAACAAAATCTTTGTACAACTGTTTAACCTGCTCCAAAGTCCAGGAAGCAAGAATCAGAAATCACTGATTCATAGGATTTTAGAAAGGTCTTAAGAAAGGTCTTAAGATTCTTTCATTCATTAAACAAATCTTTATTAAGTTTCAACTCTGTGCCTCATAATGTGTACTAAGTCATGTAGTCCTATCCTCTCTTTTTACAGAAGGGAAAGCAGAGGCCCAGATGGACCCAAGGTCATACAGCCACTTAAATAGCAGGTACATCCAGGGGAGTTAGGTCACCTATCCACCATGCTGAACAGAAACTCATCTTAAATCCTAAGCAGTAACTTAAACTAGATGATGAATTTAAGAGAAGGAACTGTCTCCAGTGATACCACAGATCAAAGAACAGTCTTCACCATGACAGAATGGAAGGACGAATTACTCTTGAGAAACACAATTGCACAGGTAGTCGTTGCTGTCAGTGTTATTATCCTGTATTAATAGCAGGAAGTGTGTGTCCCATGTTGAGCAGTAACAGCAATGAGGGTTTGTACGGGTCCATAATCCTTTACCTGAAATTGCAAAATCCCCAAAATCTGAAAACTGTCAGAATTTTTTTTTCCTTTGGCAGCAAAATCTGACCTTACCTGAAGTCTCTTGGCAACAAAACTTATCCTCAGTTGATGCAAAACAATCCATAGTCTTTGTTTATCCTGTTTATTATGAATATCCCCAACTTTTTGCTGCAGAAGTATCAAAATTTTTATTATGGGTGCTCCCAGACCCCTTGTATGTGGCTTAATATAGTATATAGATGATATTAGTTTTCTAAAATCCACACAATTCTGAATTCTTAAAAAAAAAAAAAAAAATCTGACCCTGAGGATGATAATACAACTAGGCATTATAGGCCTGTATTACATTTAGGACATACATATCCCTCTCCAGATTTGGTGCAAGGAATGCTCATTCTTTGCCCTCTCCCAACACACAAATAAGATTAATTCCACTGAGATTTCACCCTTCTCAGACTCAGTTTAGTTATATAGTTCCACTAAATTACTTAGGTTCTAAGAAATTGTATTTTATTAATTGTAGTTTATTAGGCTGGAAGGAGTAGGCTAGAAATTGTCAGGCTGCTGTAAGGGGATCCCAGGAGTGGGCAAGACCAGCATGAGCAGATTGTTTCTGTTTTTGTTTTTAAAGATTTTATTTATTTATTTGAGAGAGAGAGAATGAGAGAGAGCGAGCACATGAGAGGGGGGAGGGTCAGAGGGAGAAGCAGACTCCCCGCCAAGCAGGGAGCCCGATGCGGGACTCGATCCCAGGACTCTAGGATCACGACCTGAGCCGAAGGCAGTCGCTTAACCAACTGAGCCACCCAGGCGCCCGAGCAGATTGTTTTTATTCTCCTCTCACCCACGGTGCTTTATGGCAGGGCAAAGAGAACTTTGGAAAAGCAGCCTCTTTTTTCCCAGACTGGAGAGAACAATGCACAGAGCAAGGAGGAGTGGGGATCCCACACTCAGAGAAGGTGAAGATGTTAGTGAAGCTTTGAGCCCTAATTAAGCCAAACGGAGGATGCATGGGAAGAAATCCACTCTAGGATCTGTCTGCTTCATCAAAATCCAGCTAGCAATAAGTCAGTAAATGCAGTTAGCCTATGTCAACAGGTCCATCCTTCTCACACAAACCATACCTGCATCATTCCCTCTGGGCATGGGAATACAGCATATGCAACAACATATACACTTGTCTGAAGACGCCATTTATCACTGCATCTTTCTCAGAGAGTCTTAAGAGTTTTATCCTTTGCACCTTAGTAAAACCTCTGCCACTGTAAGGCACTACTGGGGACCATTCAACAATTCTGCCCAGGCCTAGGGTCTTCTGAGACCACTGACTTTAAAAAAAAAAAAAAAAAACCATCACCCCACCCTCTGGATGACAGAGACCAACTGCAATGCATTCCTTTTCTCTTTGCTTCAATCTCCCTCCTTTCCTTGTCTCTCTTCCTCTCCCTATCACTTCTTTTCTCTCTTCTTCCTTCATCAGGTCCCCTTTCCCGTCCTAAGCCTTGGTGGTCCTCCAGCTCCACTGGGACACTTATAAAACGCGGTCAGAGCACCAGCCCAAAGAAACACAAGGAAAGCAAGAGGGCACATCCTCTTGCCAGGACCCCTGGCCCACCAACCTGACTGCCTTCTCTGTCCCACTCAGGCCTCCAAGAATGAATATCCTCCGCCTACTCCTGGCCACACTGCTGGTCTCCCTGTGCTTCCTCACTGCCTACAGCCACCTGGCACCTGAGGAAAAGCCCAGGGATGACAGGAGCCTAAGGAGCAACTCCTCCGTGAACCTGTTGGATTTCCCCTCTGTCTCTATTGTAGGTAAGTAGCCTGTCTTGGTGCCTAGTCTCTGTACTCTGGCCCATGAGAGGGGGCTACAGGATGTCAAACATGCTCCCCAGGATTCATTGACATACATCAGAGTTCCTTTGTGCTTATTCTTCAAAGTAATGCTAGAGGAATAAAGTATTCCTTGACTCATGGTTTTAAAAAGCCCTGCATACCACTAATCTAATATGCAGCTTCACATGTTAGAGGCTCTGAGAAACCCTGAAGTTAAGACACTTTGTGAATTTGGTTTAACTTAGCATTTCTGAAACCTACTGAATCACAGAACTGTCAATAACAAAAATGTTAGAGAATGCTGCGGAATATAACCGAGTGTGGGATGAACTAGTCCTTTCACGGTTGAGAACTGAGAATGACCGCTCAGGGGAAAATATCAGAGGCATTACAGCCTGGTATCAAACATCTTCTAGTTCAACTTCTTCTGATAAAAATAATAGTAACAGATATACTCCTTGTGTGCTAGGCACTGTAAAGTGAGTACTATTTTTTATTCCTACTTCACAGTTGAGGAAATTGAGGCTTAGCAAAGTTAAGTGACTAACATGAGATCACACAGTTCTTAATTGGTAGAGCCAGAATTCAAACCCAAGTGTTTAATTCCAGAACCCAAGTTCTAAACTAATGTCCCTCACTGCCTTGACTCTCACTACGAAAAGAGAATATTCTAGATGTATCAGGAAAGTAAGTCTCACCTTTGATCACCTTTGATGTGCCGGACTTCTCACTTTATAAACATATCTTTTTTATCCTCAAGACAACCCTGCAAGGTGGATATTACAGTACCCTATTTACAAATGAGAAAACTGGATCTTAAGAAGATTAAGTAGGTTGCCTAAGGAGACACAGTTGTTAAATGGCAGAGTCAGGATTCAAATCAGGTGTGCCTGGCTCCATAGCTCTGAGAAATGAAAATTAGGAATACAGGAAACACAGGTCCATCCATGTACATGACACTGAATCCATTTTTCAGGGCCTTCTTGGATTTCCTCTTTGCCTTCCCTCAGAGGACACTTTTCTTTCAGTCCCTGGCTCCAGGTTAGCAGCCAGGCTAACAAGAACCTGTTGGCCTAAGTCCCAAGTTGTGATTTATCCACCCAATCCTTCTTTTCCCCCACCCTGAGACTTCCTGGAGGCCCCTCAGATTCCTCCCGCTTCACTGCAGTTCATGGCCTCCAGAAACATCTGGCTTTGCTCCTTCTGTCTCTCTTTGAAGTGCTGAACAAGAAACCCAAAAAGATCAGCAGAAAAGAGGCGGAAAAGAAAAGATCTTCCAAGGTAGGACTGGAAGTTCTCATTGTGGGGGTGGGACTGGACTTAAAAGAGAATTCTAGCTGGGAACTAAATGAAAGATTTTCCATCCTTACATGAACAAAAGAAGCTGAAAGCTGTCTAAAGGCTTCCTGGCCTCAAGCCCTGAATCAGACTCCCACAGAAGCCCAGAGAGCTAAGGTTCACTAAGCAAAATAGCTTACTTGCTAAAAAGCATCTTATATGAGCTAGCCCTCTTACTGAAATATCACCATCACTCATTCTTTTGAATGAATGCAGTTTCCTAAAGCTCAGTTATTTCAGAACCACTTCCCACAATTTTTTTTTTTGAAAGCTTTCATTTTTAAGTAATCTCTACACCCAGCGTGGGGCCTGAACTCACAACCTCGAGATCAAGAGTCACATGCTCCACTGAGCCGGCCAGGCACCCCCCCACAATTTTTGCCATAACCGAGTTTCACTTATTTACTTAATATATTTGTTTGGTTTTTTTTTTTTAAGATTTTATTTATTTATTTGAGAGAGAGAGAGAGAGCACATGAGAGGGGGGAGGGTCAGAGGGAGAAGCAGACTCCCCGCCAAGCAGGGAACCCGATGCGGGACTCGATCCTGGGATTCCAGGATCATGACCTGAGCCGAAGGCAGCCGCTCAACCGACTGAGCCACCCAGGTGCCCTACTTAATATATTTGTTTAAAATTAAAACCTAAGGGACCTGGGTGGCTCAATCGGTTAAAAAAAATTAATTAATTAAATTAAATTAAAACTTAAGGGGCACCTGGGTGGCTCAGTCAGTTAAGTGTCTGCTTTCAGCTCAGGTCATGATTCCAGAGTCCTGGGATGGAGCCCCAGAGCGGGCTCCCTGCTCAGTGGGGAGTCTTCTTCTTCCTCTCCCTCCCCCCACTTGTGCTCTCTTACTCTCTCAAATAAATAAATAAAATCTTTTAAAAAATTAAATTAAATTAAAACTTAAAAAATATGTAACTATGATAGAAAGTCAGTATCACTTGCCATAAATATAAGGTAACCATAAAAATAAGTATAAAGAAAATAAAACATTATTAGTGGATTTTAGCTGGATGGGGTTGCCTGCCAAATGCTCTCAAGCTGAGGCTTGTTCTCTGTATTAAAAGTCAGATTAGAAAGTGTTGGGAGAGGGCGCCGGGGTGGCTCAGTCAGTTAAGCTTAAGCGTCTGCCTTCTGCTCAGGTCCTGATCCTGGTCCTGATCCCTGAGTCCCCATGTCCTGGGGCTTCCTCCCTGTTCAGTGGGGAGCCTGCTTCTCCCTCTCCCTCTGCCACTTCCCCTACTTGTGCTCTCTCGCTCTCTGTCAAATAAATTAATAAAATCTTAGAAAGAAGAAAGAAAGAAAGAAAGAAAGAGAGAGAGAGAGAGAGAAAGAAAGAAGGGAGGGAGGGAGGGAGGGAGGAAAGAAGGAAGGAAGGAAAGGAAAACAAAGGAAGGGAAGGAAGGGAGGAAAGAAAGAAAGAAAATAGGAAAGTGTTGGGAAAGCATTAATGATATATCGGCACCAAACGGAGCCTTTAAAGTTGAAAGAGACTGAAAAAAGAATCCTTTCTCACTATGTGATTTAATGTCATTTAATACTCATGTACCACCTAAAATCATACTACCATGGCACAGGTTCCCACACTGTGGGAAATACTGGACAGAGGCATTGTTGAAACGCACACATTATTCCTTAGACCTGGCACTGTGTGATTTTGAGCAAGTCCCTGCTCCTCTCTAGACCTTCTGTAAACAAGCAGATCAGATGATTGACATAAGAATACATAGCTGACAAATATATTTGTATGCTAGGTATGGGGATTATAGAAGTGAACAAGAGAGGGACGCCTGAGTGGCTCAGTCGGTTAAGCGACTGCCTTCGGCTCAGGTCATGATCCCAGGGTCCTGGGATCGAGTCCCTCATCGGGCTCCTTGCTGAGCAAGAAGCCTGCTTCTCCCTCTGCCTGCCTCTGTCTCTCTCTCTCTCTGATAAATAAATAAAACCTTAAAAAAAAAAAAAAAAGAATTCTGACTTTCCCTAAACTGGAAAAAAATTTAAAAAAAAAAAAGTGAACAAGAGAGATATATCCCCACTATCATGGAGTTTATATTCTTGTGGGGAAAATAGACAAAGAGCAAGTAAGCCAATAAATAGGTAAAATAAATTCAGATAATAATAAACACTGTAAAAGAATTAAAGCATGATAATGAAAATGAAGAGTGGTCTCAGAAGCCCTCCCTGAGGAAGCAGCACTTACATATTGAAAAATTCAGTAATCTCAAGCAGCAACTCCCAATAGAAATACAATGTGAAGAGCACCTGGGTGGCTCAGCGGGTTAAAGTGTCTACCTTGGGCTCAGGTCATGATCCCAGGGTCCTGGGATGGAGCCCCACACCTGGCTTCCTGCTCAGTGGGGAGCTTGCTTCTCTATCTCTCTCTGCTGCCCCCCCTGATTGTGCTCTCTTTCTCTCATGTAAATAAATAAAATCTTTATAAAAAAACAAAAAATACAATGTGAGCCACATATATAAATTTAAATTTCCTAGTAGCCACATTAAAAGAAAAGTAAAAAGTACGTGTAGTTAACTTTAGTAATATTTCATTTAACCCAATATATCCAAAATATTATCATTTTGATATAAAATGATATAAATATAAAAAGTGATATATTTTATTTTGTGTGTGTGCTAAGTCTGAAACCTGGTGGTGCATCTTTTCACTCACAGTACGTCTCAATTCCGATGCTAATTTTTAATAAAGTCAACTGTAGTGCTAACAAAAAAAAATTGTTTAAAGAAAAAATTTTACACTGCTATTTTAAAATGTAAATTAAAATTAAATTTGAAGATTCACTTCTTCAGTTGCACTAGACACATTTCAAGTACTCAGTAGCCTCCTATGGCTGATGGCTACGTGGATTGAACAGCACAGCAAAGAATGGTTTCAGGAAAGTGGGCAGCCAGTTCAAAAGCCGTGCAGCAGAAACTCATTTTCTGCGTTTGGTGCACGGAAAGAAGGCACTGTGGGAACAACAGCTCAGCTCATAGAGGTGGGCGGGGCCAAACCTGAGGGCCTCAAGAGCCAAAGTGAAGTTTATGGTTTATTCTAAGTTCAAAGAAAACCCACTGGGGGCTTTAAGCCAGAGTGGTTGCCATCATAGGTCTTCGGAGAGGTCCGTTTGGTGCAACGGAGGATGGACTGTAAGTGGGCCAGAGCAGCAGACCAAAGAAAGTGGCTTGGCCTAGGGTAGCGAGGTGGTGAAGAAGTGGGTGGATCCGGATTTAATGTGAAGGCAGGACTGACAGGAGATTTGGGAATACACTGGAAGGGGGAAGACGCAGAGGTGGTGAAAACTCTAGAACTGAGTGGGATCCCCTAGGGAGAAAAGTGGGCCAAGCCCATCCAGGTAAGTAAATGTTAATGGGTTTGGACGCAGAGGGTGGATGACTGGGGGAGGCAGGGACCCCTGGGGCCACTTGTGGACATGAAGTCCAGGGGACAGTGGTGCAGCGGGTGGGGATGGCTGGTCTGGGGCCTCCACTGCCCAAGGAGCTCCCAGGCCGACGTGAGGACTGGTGGGGTGGGCGTGGCCGGCTTGGGCAGCCCCGGCGCTTCCCCGCAGAAAGAGGCTTCCATGAAGAACGTGGCTCGGCCCCGGCCCCCGCCGCCCAGCCCCTGCGTGGCCACTCGTGACAGCTGCAAGTCGCCGGCGCCGGCCTGCTGCGACCCCTGCGCCTCCTGCCAGTGCCGCTTCTTCCGCAGCGTCTGCTCCTGCCGCGTGCTCAGCCGCCTCTGCTGAGCGCGCCCAGCCGCCTCCCGAGGGCGGGTGATTTCTAATAGGTGTGGCTTCCCCGGTACCCTGGCGCGCGCGTAGTTACTTGGTTGGGGCGGAGCTTTCAGGAGGCGGGACTTCCAAGAAGACTTGGCTTTGGCAGGGCTAAAACCCAAGCATATGGAGGCTACTCCAAGGTGTGTGGCTGTTTCTTTAAAGGACCCCAAAGAGCCTTTCCCTTCCTCCTGGCCCCTTCACAGCCGAAAACCCGTGGACTGCGCATGCTCTGTCGCCTGGGCCTGGGAAACCCGCTTTCCCCGGCCCTAGGATTGCATTCTCCTTAAGCGCTTCTCTGCTGGAGCCGGATGTTCCTCCCTACCTTTAAAACTGGGAACACACAAGGGGCGCCTGGGTGGCTCAGTTGGTTGGGCGACTGCCTTCGGCTCAGGTCATGATCCTGGAGTCCCTGGATCGAGTCCCGCATCGGGCTCCCTGCTCAGCAGGGAGTCTGCTTCTCCCTCTGACCCTCCCCGCTCTCATGCTCTCTCTCTCATTCTCTCTCTCTAATAAATAAATAAATAAAATCTTAAAAAATAAATAAAAAAAATAAAACTGGGAACACACGAAGCTGCCTGTCAGGAGCTCGCTATGAAGGCTCGCACATGAGCTGTGTCTTTCCACAATGTCAGCTTTTTCAGTCATAGAGCAAGGTTAACAATTATAAAGCAGGTTTGGTATTCTAAACGCAGTAACATTTCACCACGTGTTTAACTTGGCTTCTTAAAGGTCACGCAAAGCAGAAGCCACACAACAAACAATATAGAACAGAGGACAGGAAGTTAACAAGCCAAAGGTGTAAATCTGTGAGCCAGCAGTTGAGATAAGGCCTCACTCCGGTCTGGGTCAGCTCTTGGCACTTACTGCTTATTATGTTCAAGCATAACATAACAAGAAGGATCTCTGTTCTTTTTGGACATCAGGCAGCCTTCAGCAGCAGCTGCCTTTTTGAAGTGACCAGACATAGGTCAGTGTCTGAGGAATCTGACAGTTTGCTGCAAATATCCTCTTTTTTAAAGGGTTTAATCAGTCTTGAGCCTTTGCAGACCTCCTCTGTTTCCCATTGGTTATCACTTCTGAATGTGTCAAGAGCTGGTGCTGGTCTCAGTGATATCTGGTCTTAGCTGCAATGCCCTTAGCTGCTTGCATCACTGCTTGACACGGGCCCCTGCTTGACATGAGTGATTCCATCTTGCTCTCTACATTCTACCCCATGATTCCTTATGACAAATCTTTAAGGGTCATACAGGAATCAAATACGTCTTAAACTAGGGTCAGCAGTACTAGTTTGCTAACGTGGAAGAAGGTAAATCCAAATCATTCAATTGTGTTTTCAATGAGAATCAAATGAAATCAAATAAATCTCAAATCATATGAAATGTCAATTGACAGAAAACAAAGATCACATCAAATCCAAACAAGTTAGATACATTAAACTGAGTCAAATAAAGTAAAATTAAGTAAGGATTAAATTTTAAAACTCCAACTCAAAGTCACATCTAATAAGAATTAAGTCAAAAAGAAGAAAAACTAGATCTAAACTTTATTAAGGTAAGTTAACAAATCAACAAAGCAGTCAAATAAATGAAATAAGAATCACATTGCCAACTATAGGCAGATAAAAGTACAGAAATACATATGGAATCTTCAACATAGGCTCTCGGCACATCTAGAAAGGAACGGTGAGGGTATGGTTAATCAGTCTTGTAACTTTTCCTACTTAAGCTTGAGGGAGCACAACATTTTAATAGCATGTTTAATAAGAACTATAACAAAAATAATAGCTAAAAACAACAGAAGGATTTCCCTATTGGATTCTGAAACGTGTAGAGAGAGAATTCCTTTAAATATTTTAAAGGGTTATCGTCAGACCATGAGCCAGAACAAATCATGTGTTTGAAGGGTCTTGTTAACAACTCTAGAAAGGAACATTTATTGCATAAGTTTTGTATATTTTTGTTCAATGCAGCTAAGTTGGTGTTAATGACGGCTGAGGCTGCTTGAATGGCCTTTGTATCATGTTCAAAGTGGGTTAGCTTGTTGGTCAAGGTTTTATGGGCTGCTTTGAGCCCTTCTAAGTTTTCATCTAAAAGTTTATCAATTTTGTTAATTTTCACCCAAGGTATTTCTATTAGTATAAAATGTTGAAAAATTTTTATATGAATATTCTGAGACAAAGGTACCCATTTTGGTAACATTACTAAATGTTACACTAATAGCATACAATATTTTAACACACTCATTGTCTACGGTTATGATAGTATCATTCATTCTGCTATGATTAAAGAACATGACCTCTGAAGGGCACCTGGGTAGCTCAGTCAGTTGGGCAGCTGACTCTTGATTTCAGCTCAGGTCATGATCTCAGGGTCCTGGGATAGAGCCCCAGTCGGCCTACACACTCAGCGGGGTATCTGCTTGAGGATTCTCTCTTCCTCTCCCTCTGCCCCTCTCCCTGCTCACATGCTCTCTCTCTCTCTCAAATAAATAAATAAACCTTAAATAAAAGAAAAAGAACGTGACCTCTAAGAAGTTATGACCACAAGTTATCCAGTTAAAGTGTCCCATGTCCAAAAGTAAATTTTCAATAGATGTTCTTGTTAAAGGAAAAAGATTAGCATTGATTTCCAATTCATGGCAGGTATAATACATGTTATTAGACCATTGAAATACCATCTCTTTGGATAGTAAATATCCATTAATCCATGAGGGTGTATGTGTTGCCAGAAGTGCTGTACTATAATGTATTTATTGTGGTACAGCATCTGTATCATATGCTAATAAGCTTTGACCCCCTAAAAGTCTTTTTTTTTTAAGATTTTATTTATTTATTTGACAGAGAGACAGAGAGAGAGCACACAAGTGGGTAGAGCAGCAGGCAGAGGGAGAGGGAGAAGCAGGCTCCCCCTGAGCAGGGAGCCCGATGCGGGGCTCGATCCCAGGACCCTGAGATCATGACCCAGGCCATGACTGAGCCACCCAGGCGCCCTGACCCCCTAAAAGTCTTAACAATGAAAGTTTACATTGTCCTATATTGTCACAACCTGATGGTCTGGAGGTGTCTAATTGTAAGAGAGACTCCATCCAGTCAGAAGAATACTTTTTCCTGCTACACGAAATGCTTCTGATATCATTCTGTGCTCTCTCCAGTAGGTTATTGATTCTGCAGCAATTATTTTTTAGTTGTTCTCTTATGTAGAAATGTCTAAGATCAAGTAAATTTTGCTGGAGGGCCTGAACTTTATGGACAATGTTATAGTTAAATTCCAGTTGGTGGGCATGATAATCATGCACGGTTGAGACAGTGGAATGTGGTTCTCTGAATGCTGAGGAGCTCTTGGAACCTAAACATCCTACTGGATTTAGTAGCAGTTCACATGTTTTTTAAATGCAAATAGTTCCTGCTTAAGAGTCTAGATGTCTGCTTTCTGAATTCCAGAGAAAATTAAGTTGGAGGTAATGCCTAGCCCCACCCAGGATTGTAGGCTTTCTAACTCTACCGATGGGTGGTTGGTTGGGCCATTCATGGGTGGTTGTTCCTAGCTCTGTGGCATAAATTTTACATTCGGGTTGTAAATAGAACAAATTGAGTTGTTCCTTTTGGAAGGTTATTTCCAATCTCTGTGGCATAGGTTTGTATACAATTCTCAGAGGGTTAAGTAATTAGGTTCAAACATATTTGGCTTGAGTTTTGGTGGTGTGTTGCATGTCATGCGTCCATTGTGGCTTCCAATGGAAAATTCTCATACACACCGTGTAGTATTCCAACATCCTCTCTCAGTAATACATGGGCCTGAACTATTGGGTAGTACACCACATTTGTCAAAGGTGATTCTTTTAGCTATGTAAACTGGTATTGATGAATCAGTTCTGGTTATATTCTCATAGATATGGTGCTGTGCTGACCGTGTATTTTCCATGCCTTGTGCATCTGATGGTTGGATCAATGAAAAGAAATATTGCTGCATATCTGGATCAATGTGTGTCACTAAATTTGCATTAAAATCACTTCCCAATGTTTCCCACCATGCTGGTGATTTTCCTTGTATAATTGAGGTTTTATTAACCAAAAGATAGTAAAAATGTATTGGGCGTAATTGTTACAATGGACATATCGGTATGATCTCTTCCTTTGTTATGTAGTATAGGTTGACTTCAGATTTTGATATTAAGGTAGCATTGTATGTGCCATTGAGTTGTCTTATACCCTGTAGGTGTGAAAGGACCTAAGGTGACTGGACTTAGAGCTGCAATGCCTTTAGCTGCTTGCATCATTGCTTGACACAGTCCCCTGATTGACATGAGTGACTCCATCTTGCTCTGTACACTGCCTCCAAAACCAGGGAATGCAGACCAGCTAGGCAGAAAATACACATTAAGGACCCTCCAGTCCCTTACCCTTTCCCCCTTTTAAGAAGCTCCCCTGCCCGCCCCTCCCCCCCAAAAAACAAGAAAGGCTAAAACTCCTTACACGGTCTCACTGGGCTTTCTGTCCTGGGAGGTCTGCAGATAGAAATTGGGGTGGCTGGTTGTGACATGGGTCCCTGCAGCCAGAAGTCTCTGGCCTGAGAATCCTAGTTTTAAGAGGCTCCTAAACAAAGGTACCACTTGTGCCCACTCCTCCCTTTCTCCTAGGAGTTTACAGAGATTCTGGGGCTGGAAGGAATTTCTCCCACTTCAAGGCAAAATGAACACTGACCATTCGTCCCAGGCATTTTTAACCCTGATGGTCCAGAGTGTGTACTCCCAAGTAAGAAGCAGGAGTTCAGGAATACTTCCCCACTCCTCACCCCAGCTCTGTCAGCCCAGTAACCAGGCAATGAGCCTAGGCTTGGTGAGTTGGCAGCAAACTTTGTCCTGGTTTATCAGAGGCGCTGTCACCTAAAATGTCCCAAGCTGTTGCCTGAAATTCTGTCCTTAGAGATTCTTTGAATCTGTGAGAAACTGAATGAAGCATTGTATCTTTAGAAAGACCCTGGAAGCAGGAGCACCTGAGATACTGGGGAGAGAGAGGGTAGAGGTGGGAGCAGGGTCTATGAGGAAGGACCAGCCAAGGTCAGGAGTCACATGGAAGCTTGAGGGGCAAGGGCTCCAGATGGCAACATCTACTTTGCACTTCATGGCTGGGGGCATCCCTGCCACTAGGGAGAAAAGCTGAGCTGTCACCTATCTGTGCTGTGCTGTGATTTCCAACAAGAAATCAATATAAGCAAGAAAGAGGAAGCAGCAAACAATGGTGGCCTAAGAAGATGATTTTTAAAAAGCCTGTGCACAAGAAAGATCCTATGTGACAGAATAATGTGGAGCAGTTGCCTCAGCCCTGATAACTACCATGTTTCTTTGTCCTTACACATGAGGATAGTGGGGTGAGCACAGGTGAGGCTACCCCTCCTGGCCCACTTGTCTACTTGGAACCTTCCAGCTTTCAAATGCCTTAAAACTCTCTCCTTTCCAAGGACCTTTTCCCAACTAGAGACCCCGGTTGTGTCTGTAGTGATATAGTCAGTATGGAATGGAGGAGGCAAACTGCAGACCCTGGACTGGATAGAGCACAAGAAAAAAGGTGGACACTCCAGGCTAGGCTGGTGACACAGTTCTGCACACCAAGTTTCTGTGTTTCTCTGGGCTTCCATTTACTTGTGTGTAAAAGGGGAAATAATCATTTTTGCTGTTCTCATTATAAATCTGAGATATTGGTGCTTCCTATACCTTAAAAAGACAAGAAACAGGGCGCCTGGGTGGCTCAGTTGGTTAAGCGACTGCCTTCGGCTCAGGTCATGATCCTGGAGTCCCTGGATCGAGTCCCGCATCGGGCTCCCTGCTCGGCAGGGAGTCTGCTTCTCCTTCTGACCCTCCCCACTCTCATGTGCTTTCTCTTTCATTCTCTCTCTCTCAAATAAATAAATAAATAATTTTTTAAAGATTTTATTTATTTATTCATGAGAGACAGAGAGAGAGAGAGACAGAGGCAGAGGGAGAAGCAGGCTCCCCGCGGAGCAGGGAGCCCGATGCAGGACTTGATCCCAGGACCCTGGGATCATGACCTGAGCCGACTGAGCCACCCAGGCGTCCCAATAAATAAAATCTTAAAAAAAAAAAAAAAAAAAAGACAAGAAACACACATATACACAGAAAAGCTGTCAGTTGCTTGTTTTGTTTTGTTATTTAGGCTACAAACCCACAGGGCAAGAACGTTCTGTTTGTATCACAGCTGCCACTGAGGAAATGTCATCCGTAATGAGAACACTGGGAACACGTTGCAGCTGCGGCACCTGTGTTTTCCAGACATTGGAAAACAGGCACCAGCCAGGCACCATTTGAGGCCAGGGATGCAAAGCCACAGATCCAGTCCATTAGTGACAAAATCACTTGGCTGCTGGGTCTAGACAACAACATGGAAGTCCAACCCATTCACTCATTTAGCAAATGTGTACTGAGCACCTACTATGTGCCAGGCATTGTGCCAGGTGCTGTGAATACTCTAACCATTGTCCCTTTATTAGAGGTTAGAATCATTGTTAGCATATATGGTCTATTCCCTCAGACTCTCAATTGTCACTTCCCTTGTCTCAGATCCCTGGTAAATTATTTATACACCCAAGTGCTCCTTCAGCTTGAGATCCTAAGATTCCTCCACCTTTTCAGAATTCTTCTTCAAACCTTAGGATACTGATAACATGGTTCTGAGCTTCTGCAAAACCCTATCTGAATGACCAGAACTGAAACACATCCATGGCTCAGACTTATGATTCCAGCATTGTGAAGATCTGCCCCTCCCCAAGTTAACACAGCATTATTCATTCATCCTCCCCTCCACGACCCACACACACATATTTCTGTCTCTCATATAGACACAGGGTGAACTCTGTCCTGGGAAGATTTGTTCTACTTTTGTGGTTACTGATTCAGAATAATTTCTTCCTCTAGGACATGGCCTTCAACTTGTGCCCAAAGTTCTCACAATATAGCCTTGGACAAGTTACTGACTCCCTGATGCTACTACCACTTTGCTGTTTGCAAAGTGAAGAGTAAATCATTCAGTGTTATGATTGCAAACAGCAGACGTAATTCTGCCTACCCTAAGCAAACAATAAAGGGGGGGGCAGTAATCTACTGGAGTGACCTGGGGACCTCAAAGAATCAAAGGAAAAGCCATATGACAGGCCTTAGAAAGGACAGTACCCTAAGGGGTGCTAAGAGAGCCAGGTCAAAGAAACCAGCAGACAATGTCTTCAGGGCAAGGCCATAGGACAAGTCAGCTCCAACCACTTCAGTTCTTGCATTGGACCACTCATAATTCCAATTCCCAGGAGAGAGGATCTGACTGACCTGACGTGGTGCCCAGGAACGTGTGGTCCATTTTGATGAACAGTCCCACAAACCCTATTTGTCATGTAGGAGGGGTAATTCTCCAAGAGAAAAATGAAAGATAGACTTGCTGGGGGGTAAAATCTGCAACTGGTCACTATGAGAGAGCTA